AAAGGGAATGGAACATTAAAGTTTTCTACACAGACGGAGGTCAACCAATCAGTGTATACATACTATTCAAACTGGAGCAAAATAATTATGTATAACATCTATAAACACATAACGAAATTACTCATTAAATAAGAACAAATCACATAGATTAATAAATATATAGAAATTATCAACATCAAAATACACTCATGGCTTATTATGGTTTTAACGATTATTTTTTGCAGAACCATTTGACAGCAATAACACAGCCAGACCTGTTCACCTGGAATCCAAATATCTCGAGATAATCCAAGCATTCTCCAATACTTTTAAGAAGATAAAAAAAGCAACAAGTACATCAGACATATTCCAGATCTGCTAGCATTATAGTGTATATAAAAACATAATAAAAGTGACAGTGTGGTACTGTAAGTGTGCAGATGCACCGATGATAATATGCTGTACAGGTCTTACTTAGTATTCTGCTCTGCAGTCATCATTTTGGATTATTTGTGGAGTCACAATTATATTGTTTAAAGTGTGTGAACATTGGTTTTAACATAGGTTGGAAATCACAATCTCTGGCATAATAAGACATGTATATTTCTCAAAAAAACCATGATTACCAACTACCCTGTCAGTATGTTGTGTCAGCGAGCTTTGAGGACCCTGTCAATCAATGCGTTCCGAGTACCCTGCCCATCACTGGACTCCACCTGCCCATCACTGGACTCCATGCACCCTGTCCATCACTGGCCGGCATGTACCTGTCCATCAGTGGGCTCCATTCTGTCCATCAGTGGGCTCCATCCTGTCCATCACTGGGCTCCATCCTGTTTATCAGTGGGCTCCATCCTGTCCATCACTGGGCTCTGTGCACCTTGTCCATCAGTGGGCTCCATGTAGCCTACATTAGAATTAAGGCTTTCAAATTAAGTATAGTGTACATTCTTTTTGTATGTAAAACACATTGCAGTGGGAGATGGCAATATTTATGTTTGACATTTTTTTAACTATTTTTTTTGCTTTTAATAACAGGTTATTTCAGTTATACATATTTATTCAGGCTTTAAATTTGTAATTACTCACCACTGTTTGTTATCTAATTTATATCATAATCTTATTTGAAGGTCATCCTGCAATTCAGTATTGTGTATTTTCAGTATTTAATAGCACATAAGATAGAAGATTATGACCACATTATTAAAGGCACATGGCAGTGGTAGTTTAAAGACACTCCACATAAAAGTCAGTTTATGCCCACAAGGTTGTTCATGGATCTAGCAAGGACAGTTTCTGTTCACACGGTACCGGTAGTTTATAGTGCTTCACATGAAAGTCAGCTCTGCCCACATGCTAGTTCATACTGTTTCATATGAAATTTACTTTCTGCCAACATACCCTGGTACTACCGGTATTTCATAATGCTCTATTTGAAAGCCACTTTCTGGCCACATGGTAGTTCATGGTGCTTTATTTTAAAGTCAATGTGCACTATACACATGGAAATCAGTTTCTGGTACATTATCACTGATCAAATTAAATATAATAATAACTGTTAGTGCATCTTCATTATTGCACAGACAAAGACAGGAAATACAGTGGAATTTTAGATATCTGTACAAAAATACACAAGATAGAAAAAAAAGATTTTATTTAAAACAGTCATTCATTTGTTTTTATTTGCTTTTGATGTCTTTTTGTTTTGTTTGAAATTTGTATATATGAATAAAAAAATTATAAGTATACATTATGTTTGTGTCTTTGGGATTATTCTGTGAAATATTGATGGTATGAATATGGGAATTGTGGGAAATAATTAAAGATTTGCCTGGACTCTCCCTTTAATTAAATCACAGTAATTTGTATCAACAAATCTTTATAAATCCACATCACAGCCAGTACTATCACCACATGACTTGTCTGGCATTAACTATGGTTGTTTTTAAAATTGTACACTGCTGTGAAAACTGATATGACTACAGGCATTAATGATTTTTTCCACTAAAATATCTGTCTTGTATGGGTTGTATTACTGCTCATTTGGTAAAACAAAAAGTGTACCGGAATATTGCCATCATTTCTGTGTTGTGTACGTTGCAATTTTTGTTCTGCCAAAATGTTAGTTTAATTTTTCTAACATTATTTAAAATTAGGACAAATTGGCCAAAATTATTCAAAAAAATATGGTATGGGGCTTTCACTTGTATTATTTTATATTATAGTACATGTGTTTATAGTGAAATCCCAGTCAATATAGAAATTTAACAATAACATATATTGCTTCCTTGACAAATCAGTCCCTGCAGCATCAAAATGCTAAAACATTGTTAATTTTATGGCCATTACAACCATGCCTCAGGTACGAGTTAAAATATTCTCTATTCAAATTGTGCATATTTTCACCAGGAACTACTTGATTCAGGTTTAAAGTCAAATAAGCCTAATTTCCCATTGTGTGCAAATACATATTAAATATTCAGTTGTTCTGCAGTATTAAACAGGGTACTGGGTCTAGTACTCATTATTCAATTATCCAGGGATGTTGCCACCTTTATAAATATTTATCATTTAAAACCCACAGATGAAATTACATGTGATTCTAATATTACTGATGAAGATAAATACAATTTTGAGTTTAGTGTTAACATCCACAACTAATTGGAAATGAGAGTATCTGCATCTTACCTTACCCCAAGATTAGGTAATGCAGACATCAAATAAGTAACAATCATTTGATAGTTCCAAGATAGACAGGTGCGTATCAAAACAATTTCTAGCAAGAAAGTTCTGCTAATTTTTGCCACATTTCTAGACCCCGGGCTTCACACTAAGCACCCAGATCATACATAATAAATTTGTTGTGAATGTACTGCGTAGTACAACTTCTGATGCTGTTATGCATACAATACTTTGTGATATCTTGGTAAAAACCAGAGGTTGTAATAGTAGTTCTGTCTTTGTCTTCCAATCCGAGCCTACAAAAAGCGCGGACCATATCATTTCATTCAGATAAGCATGAAACAAAGTTTAATTTAATTTTTTATTTGCAGACACAATGTACATTATTATTATTTTCCTATAGCAAGGAACACAACAGAACTCAAAGCAATACTACAAATTCTAACCGAACTATAAAATACTTTACTAAATGATTTTAAATATTGTCAACATAGCACAATGGTACATATCGAGGTCACCTTGAACCAAACAATTTTTCAAATATTGATTTTGTTCCATCTGGTATAAGTGGTTCTCGTATTATATCCCTTCCATACACATTTGGCTTTTCAGGTTTTATCACATGAAATCCACTGGCACCACCTTCTGTTTTCGTCACTGTCGTCTCAACATTCCCATGCTCGTCTTTCACAGTTCTTCTTTCTTCTACTGTCTGTTGGTGAAATGACACAATACATTTTATTTTTCAGCAGTGTGTCTTTAACTTAATACGAAACTGCGTAAACAACACAAAACATTAGAATACAAAATATTAGAATAGACACTCTTGCAAGCATTTTGATACTACTGTGCGCACTGCACTGAGTTGTCCCAAGGAAGAAAACAATCTACATATGATTTCTTTAGTTAAGTTCTATAGTGAATAACTAAAGATCACAATACTGTACACCGTTTTCTTTTTGCACGACAAATGTTCATGATTAATGAAGCAGTGAACATCTGACATGTGGGTGGGGGTGGGGGTTCAGTCACAGTGACTTGTATGGAGTTTCATACTCATCAATACCATTATGAATGATCAATATGGTTTTCACCATTTTCTGTTTAACTTCAATTCATTTTTAAAAGTTGATTGTTGGAATAAAAATAATATATGCTACATCAAGTTTCAGTATTAGGGCAGCCAATTTGCAAACTCGCTAGTGAATTAGCTAACTGCTTGGGTTTTGATTGAACAGTTGGCTTTTGAATCTCGCTGGCACCGACTTGTGGCCGCTATCTACAAAAACAAAAAGTTCAAATTTATTTGCAATTTTTTAGGGAATGCAAAATAGAATGTTTATTTTATCCACATTCTATGTGATTAATGAGACTTGGTTCAAAATGGACATGCAAGAGTTCTCACCAGGAAACCTGTTATATCTGACACATTGTTTTAATATGTTAAGCTTCAAAGAAATTTTCCAATTCTTATGTTTTAACTGTAATCTGCAAACCATGTTTATCCCAAAACTTTTAGTCCATCACCCCATTTTTTTTTTACAAATGACCCTTCAATACATACCCCATCAGGTTTCCTAACAGTGCGTACAGAAACGCTGCGGAAATATGATCTTCTTTCGGGAATACGTGGTTCAATCACTTTGTCCTCTTTTACATTGGGTAAAAGATCATTCAAATTCCCAGAAGAGACTTCACTATCCAGATCTGAAAAAAAAAAATGAAATGCTCTTAAATAAACATTTTCACAGTAGAATCTCTCTGAACTGATCTTTTTTATTCCCTTCTCCACATATATAAATGAAATATATACCGGTAAACGTTCTCAGTCAGTTTGGTGTTCAGATCAGACAGGTATCGCTGTAGTAACCATTGTACTACAATCAACAACTTTTGTTACAGTCATTTTTCCCTTTTTCAGACAGTTTTTCTCCAAACAAATATTTTGAAAGAAAAGGTCAGCTAAAATATAGATTTCGCTTTTAGAACTACCGTAGTTTGTTATGTGTCTTATATATATATGACATAATGTTTAAACACAGTATAATGTTTATACAATATATGTATGTATTAGTTTGAAGTCTAAACAAAAACATAGTATTATCATATGTACCAGAAATCCATCCAAATATGCTTATATGTGATATGGATTTGGGAGGCACAAACTACCTTAAAACTCCCAAATTTCACCTACTCTAAAAATTTAACCACTTTATTATTAAACAGATTTTTGTAATTCATTCACTTCTATAATCCCTATTGATCACAGAATTGTTGTTTTTTCTCTAAAATTTCATCCAACTCTAATTTAGGCTTTAATTATTGAAAACAAAAACCACTGAACTGACACTACGTAGTAGTATTGACACTGGAAAGATCAAAACATGGTTTGATACAATAAAACCTAGATGGCACTGATTACATCAGTTCAAAATTTCAACATAATTTTGTATTTCACAGCTTTTACCTGCATTACCTGTTCCTTGATTTTGTCCAAATAGTAATTAATAATGTGTTATAAAAAAATGCATACCTCTGTCTCTTTTTTCGTCAGTATGGGGATGAGATCTAGGTAGTCTGTATGGCCAGTCCCATTTCCATTCTTTATATAGTGGCTGTAATAAATCAATTGATAAATAAATTCATCACATTATCTACCCAGAAATTCACATTTACCTCCAATCTGAATTCACCCAAGGGAATCAAGTTCAGTTTTCTTTATAGAAACTAATAAGTATATGATGGCCTAGAATTTACTTCCTGTTTGTGATTTTAACACATGCACATAAACATATAGACGTGATATATGAAAAATACATGGGGGAGGAGAAAGGGAAGAGAGGGGAAGAGATTAGCACATCCTTTTCTACTAGTTTTAATTGGCAGTTGAATATGCATAACAGTAAAGAATTGCCTAGGTCTATTGCTGATTTTCCATATAAAAGTACACTAAATCCACTTTATGTCTTAATTTGTGGTTGCATAACTATTTAGAAAATATCCTTACACTTTGACGGTCTTCAAATGATTTTCGATTGTATTCTTTTCTTTCTGCGCCTGGTTTTAACATCTTATCTCTTAATGAGCCACTATCGTCTTTAGGTCTTTCAGGACCACCAATTGATGGCAGATCTGCAAAAAATGAATACCACAACACAAACATAATCTTGGATTGAAAGTCATTTTAAATTAATGTGCACAAAAATTACACTGCAAAGGCGGCGGCACCAAATTTTGCATGGGGAGCGAGATCTGCTCACCAACCAAAGGCGCAACCTTACTAGGGGGTCCAGGGGCATCCCTCCCTAAAAAATTTGAAATCTAGACATTCTGCAACGCTATTTCCTTCATTTTGAGGGACAAATTTTGCTGACACAAAGGGTTTCAGCTTGATTTTGGCAGGGTGACACCCTCCAATGCTACTGCACTGAGCTGTTTTTTTCATGTTTGTTCCATTTTTTTTTACATTTGAAAACTTTCATTTAGAGTGGAAAAGGGTTGAATGACCCTTTACAAAAGTGTCACTTTAATCAACTTACTCATTGGAGGAAATTCTGCAAAACCAAAATTTTTAAACATATCATGGAAGTGTTTTTCAAAATGTCTGAATATGTCATCTGTTTCACTGAAGAAGTCTGGATTGGAATCTCCAAAAAAGATGCTCTGGTCATTATCATCGTGGTCTTCATCACTATCACCATAAAAACCAAATGCTCCGGGATCATCGTCATCATCATCATCTACTGGATATTGTCTAAAAGAATGAACACACAATTGGAAGCAATGAATTGAAAGATAATCACAAACTTTGGATCTAAAAATCAATCTACTTGTTGCAACCTCCTTACAACCAAATCAACAAACCCATTGCCATGATTTGTGCTTAATCAGGAATTCAAATTGCAAAATTCCTACAAAATAGTTTCAGCGCACTTACCAAATCTAACCTTGGATTACTCAATCCACTTCAAATTAAATCATTAAGGCTGACAATTAAAATCTGAGAGGATTTAACGATTACAGTGTTTGTTGGTTTGTTTTTTTCTGATCTGTATCCTTGAAAACAAGAGATCCCGGCACCAAAACCAACCCGGCACCACAATGTACGAGAGAACCCGGCACCAATTTGAACGGACACGCATTTGTGTTGGATTTATGTCGATTTAACAAACATTTTTATTTTATTTGCAGATATACACATACTTTTAACCGGCTACTCGTACCTGTTTTTTTGGTTGTCGATTTTACAAAATGTAGATTGTCGATTTCGTGAACGTTTGTCGGTTGCACTACCATGGAGGAACCTCTGTGCACGTATACCGATACTTAAATAAAGCGAATTAGCATAAATGGCATATTTGGTTTTACTTTGGTACAAACGTAAAGTACGGACGGTTATTCTTCCTCTTTATTATGTTATTGACATAGCACTGACTTCGGAAAGTACAACAGTACACAATAAAGCGAATTAGCACAAAACGATAGGTTATAGAGTGCCGGGATCGTTTTGGTGCCGGGTTGGTTTTGGTGCCGGGTTCTCTCGTATTCGTATCCTTACCATACAGCACCCACCGGTGGTGCAGTTGTGTAATAAAGTTATTATTATTATTTTAATACTTAATTTAACAATAGCTGTTTGTAACATGATGATAAATACGACTTTTATCAAACATCGGGATACTGTTTGCCCATATCGTTTCTTATACACAGAGGAGCCAACAATAACCCGCTGTTTGATATAAGTCATATAACAATCGTCAATGGTTTTTGAGCTCAATACATGGACGTCTGTGGGGGTGACAGAATATGTCCCGATACAAACATTGATAGACAGGCTGATCGCACAGAAACAAGAAATAGTGATGCTGGTACTTTCGGGAAGAGAATAATTAATCTGTTTTAATTCTATAATTTGTATTATTATGGACAAGGATAACGCTCATATCAGGACATACCCTTTCAGCCATCTATACTTCCATGTATTGACTTCAGGAACCACACACATAAATCGTCACGTCTCCGTGGTAAATAGTCTAATAGAGGAGGTTTGGGGGAAATTTCGAGAATCAGGCTGTAGGCTCTCGACCGGGGCTCCTCGGCTCTCCCTATTTTGACTCTCTACTGTCATCCTATTCTTACTTACCTTGGGGGACTTCTGTGATTAGAAAACCCGAAAAGTCGACCAACGAAATCGTGGAAATTCATGTTTCCCTGTTTTATGCGGCAATCAACAGTAACAGTTTCGTCATTCGTTATATTTCTCACTTCGCCGTCGCATCACGGTTCCGATCATGCGCAATAGAAAAATCGCGCTTTAGCCAATCACAACTTTAAAAACATACGTCATGAATGTTGCTATTTTTAGACACCGGAAGGGAATCCTCAAACTTCTGATGCAATAATCGTCGAGAAAGGACACATCAGCGATAAGTCATTGCAGCGTGGACGTTTCTCATTGGACATGGATCTGTAAAACTGACGTGGCGTTAGCGACTAGCGGTAGGTATAAATTAGATGAACATAAGCACTACCTCAATAAGTTATTTTTTATCGAGAAGACGACACTAAACTACGACTCCGAGTGTGACATTACCTGGTCTTAGCGTAAACTACAGTATTCTCTTCACCACAGGCTCGTTGCGGAGATTCTTGCCCAATTCTACCAAACGAAACAATTCACTATTCGACATTAGTGTTCTAAGCTATACCGACAATTATGGGTAGATTGCTTAAAATGATCGTTACATTGTCCGTGGTTGCTTTGATATGGCAAAGCAGCAATGCATTTCGTATGCACGTGGGGAACCGGTAAGTTGTCATATTGTGGGATAGTTATTATTCTCGCTGGTTCGGACACATACAAATTATAATTTAATTAATGTTGATAGATTTGTCATAATATGCATGTTTAACATGCAACCCGATGATCATTGGATTCTATATTTATTAACTTGATTTTATTTGAACTATAGACAACTTTTCTACACTTTGTGGTTGAACGATGGAGGGTGAACACGTTGTTTTTATTCTAACCATTTTTATTATGTTGTTTATTTCAGGAACTCACCTCTCTTGTCACAAGTTTGGGACTTCGGACATCATGCCAACGAATTTTGGAACTGGTATCCATGGCAACAGTTTAAAGATCCGTTCATATCAAACTTTCATAACGACCTGTTTGGAAATTCCTTCAAACTCCATAACTCATTGGTAGCAGAGAATCCAAAGGGTGTTGAAAGTGGTGACCGAGTAAGGGATGTGCAAAATGTCCAGACCAGATGCGGCTGCTGTAATTCCCAGAATGGAGATAATAAAGGACAGAAAAGTCTAAATCTAAGGAGTGAAAAAGAGGCAGTGGAAGAAAGGCAGAGAGAAGTTGCCAGACAACAAGAAGTTGAAAGACTTCGTCTTGAAAATGAGAGACAGCAGAAACAGCTTGAAGAAGAGAAACACAAACTACTCAGGCGCCAACAAGAAATTGAACAGGAGCTTATTCAGCGAAAACAATTATCACAACAACAAGAACTTGAAATGGAGAGACAACGCAAAGAGGCTCTAAGACGCGAGATGGAAGAGAAGAAACAAAGACAAGCCCAAATAAATAAACTGGAACGTCAGAGACAACGTGAAATTAAACAACAAGAGTTAGCGCATCAACAGGAACTTGAAATGGAAAGACGACACATGGAGGAGTCAAGAAAAGAAAGAGAAGCAAACAAACAGAGACAAGAACAAATCAGAAAACAAGAAATTGAAAGACAAAGACAACTTGAACTTCAGAGGCAACGTGAATTACATAGACAAAGAGAACAGGTTAGTGCTTTAAAAATATCTAACAAATTAAAG